GCTCCATGTAGGGAGCCCGACATGGGACTCGATGCTGCGTCTCCAGGATCACGCCTGGGCTGAAGGCTGCGCCAAACCGCTGAGCCACCGGAGCTGCCCGAGTATACCTTTTTAGCTCTTAGATGTACCCTGTGGAGCTGGGGTGACCTGGTGAGAGGGGCCCTTGTTTTTTTTTTGTTTTGTTTTGTTTTTAAAGATTTTTATTTATTCATGAGAGACAGAGACAGAGAGGCAGAGACATAGGCAGAGGGAGAAGGAGGCTCCATGCAGGGAGGCCGATATGGGACTTGATCCTGGGACTCTGGGATCAATGCCCTGAGCCAAAGGCAGACGCTTAACCACTGAGACACACAGGTGTCCTGAGGGGGCCCTTGTTAGTCCCATGAAGAGCCACTATTCTTGTCACTATGCGTTACCCTGGGTGATATCAGAAGAAGAGCAGTCCAGCAGAGACCAATCTAAATTACTGACCTACTGGGGTGCCTGGCTGACTCAGTCGGTGGAGCATGCAACTCCTATAAATTCAAATCCCACAATGGGTGTAGAGATTACCAAACAACAACAACAAAAAATCCTTAAATTGCTGGCTTACTGTAAAATAAGCAAATAAAATGGTTATTAGTTTAGACTATTATGTTTTGGAATGGTTTATTATGTGGCAATAGATTGATACAAATGAGGCCAAAAATATCTGAAGTGGTACATAGATGGATCGAATGCAGCTGAAGAAAATACATGCTCAGTTCTATCACTTTTCAGTGACAGCTTTGGCCCTTCCCTAAAGGCTCACCAAGATGCAGTAAAAACAGGATCTAGAACTATAACCCAAACATTTCTTCCAGCTGAAATAAGAGAAGAAAAGAAGGGAGATTTTGATTAGTTATTATCTCATGGAGATTACCACAGATTTTCTCTTCCACTGGAGAAGGCAAAGCCAAAGTAAGGGGACCTCTGAGAGCTGAGTTAGGAGTGTCTTAAGGATGTATTACACTCTTGCTGTTTGACTGAACTGTAGTTATCTGAGAATTTTAGGGGAGACCCAGAGAATTTTAGGGAGGGCTGGCCACATATTTTTGGAGTTTGGAGAGCAGAAGCAGCACAGACACTGCTGCCTGCCTTTTGCCAGAAGAATTCTGAAGACAGGAATCTTGCCGGAGCAGTGATGACAGGGCAGCATAACTGTTACTCAGCATGGATGGCAATGGTATATCTGTTTCCTATGGATCAAGTGATGGTCACAGAAAGCAAAAAAGTTTGAGCCTCTTGCTTGTGCCCTGCCCAAAGGCCCTGCTAATGGTTAAGAGGAGCCTGGCAGTAAGAAGCTGTGGGTATTCCACAAGGTGGTCTATATCAAAAAACTACGCCATGAGGAGGGTGTTGAAGAATCACACCTCATAAGAGAGCAAGCTTTTGGATGCCAGTCACACAGAAGGCATGGACAACCAAGAGAGGACTTTCAGCAATATCAGACAATAAGAGTCCAGGGGTTGAGGAGAGAGAGGCCCAACAGAGGAAGCAACATCATATGTGTCCTAGGATGTGCTATCAGATCTTCCCAGTGGAAGCCTAAGAAGAATCTCCAAAAGCAACCAAGAGAGAAAGAGCCCATTTTAGGCATCTGCTGTGTCCAGAGAGGACAAAACCATCTTTTGACTGTAACCTGTAAAGCAGGACATCATCTACCTCCATTCCCACCCTCTTTATCCTTGGAGGAGAAGAAACTGTGGTTAGAAAAATGGGGACGGAGAAGCCTAAGGAACAGAAAGAGGATTATACTCACTTTGACTTTAAGCCCTTCACTGGTGGCAGAACCCAACTGAGAGAGAGGACCAGAAATAACTTTAAACCAAGTTCTGAGTTTTGATTATTTTATCCGGCTGCTGGCTCCTCCCTGTCCCCCAATCTTTTTTTAAAAGATTTTATTTATTTATTCATGAGAGACACAGAGAGGCAGAGCAGAGGGAGAAGCTGGCTCCATGGAGGGAGCCCGATGAGGGACTTGATCCCGTAACTCGATCCCGGGACTCCAGGATCACGCCCTGGGTCAAAGGCAGGTGCTAAACCACTGAACCACCCAGGGATCCCTAAAGTCATGGAATTTTTAGCTAGGTACAAGACTTCGGAGAATAAGAACACATTTCTCAGTCTCTCTCATAAGTAAAATAGATTAATGTGAATATGTTCTAGCCAACATGTTGTGAACATAAAGGATGTTAACAACTTCTGGGTTGTACCCTTAAAGGAAATGGGTAGATCTTTCCCCTTTCCAACGACTGGAATGTGATGTGGTACTGAGCCATTCGGGGACAGCACTCTAGGGATTGTGGAGCACAAAAAGAGACAAACTACAGCTCACTCTGTGGAACAGAGCTGCTCTTATTAGTCCACTTTTGCCTCGTAATAAGCAAAATCTCAGGGGCATACTACAAGGCACATTTATTTCTCACTCATGGGTTTGGGAGTGGGCTGGCCAGCTCTGTTTGGTATGGAACTCTCAATTCAAAACAGGTTTTTTGGGATCCCTGGGTGGCGCAGCGGTTTGGAGCCTGCCTTTGGCCCAGGGCGCGATCCTGGAGACCCAGGATCAAATCCCACGTCGGGCTCCCGGTGCATGGAGCCTGCTTCTCCCTCTGCCTATGTCTCTGCCTCTCTCTCTCTCTCTCTCTCTCTCTCTGTGTGTGTGTGTGTGACTATCATAAATAAAAAAAAAGAAACCAGGTTTTTTATTTTTATTTTTTAAAAAGATTTTATTTATTCATGAAAGACACACAGAGAGGCAGAGACATTTAAGTAGAGGGAGAAGCAGGAGCCCCATGTGGGACTCAATTCCAGGACCTCGGGATGACGCCCTGAGCTGAAGGCAGATACTCAACCGCTGAGACACCAGCGGCCCAACAAAACAGGTTATTTACCGGTGCTTTAACACCACTGTGCCAGCTATGTGGGGTGGGTGACAGGAGTGAATGGACCCCTTTCTGATCACATCCAGTTTCTAAAATGAGTGGCTCTCAACACCGGAGCTGCTCTGGTCAAATTCAGCTCCACTGTAGTGTCTCTTTTTCATTCCTAGGTCAGAGGGAGAGTGCAGCTCTCAGGACAGTGCAAAAGTTCCTTCCCATAGCAGCAGTTGGATCCAGGTTGCAGTTTTTTTTTCCAAATTTGCAAACACAGCATCTTGAGCCCTGATCCATCAGAGACACCAGCAGCCGTAGGGGCTGTTCCCTCCTCACAGGTCTGAGTTTCAGCTCCATACAGCTCCTCTAGAGTGCTAATTTTTTTTTAAGATTTTATTTATTTATTCATGAGAGAGACAGAGAGAGAGAGAGAGAGAGAGGCAGAGACACAGGCAGAGGGAGAAGCAGGCTCCATGCAGGGAGCCCGACGTGGGACTCAGTCCCAGGACTCCAGAATCATGCCCTGGGCCATAGGCAGGCGCTCAACCCCTGAGCCACCCAGGGATCCCGAGTATCTAAATTTTAATAATCCAGGGACACCTGGGTGGCTCAGCGGTTGAGCGGCTGCCTTTGGTTTAGGTCATGATCCTGAGGTCCTGGGATTGAGTCCTACATTGGGCTCCCCGAGGGGAGCCTGCTTCTCTCCCTGCCTATGTCTTTGCCTCTTTCTCTGTGTCTCTGATGAACAAATAAAACCTTAAAAAAAGAAATAAAAAAATAAATTTTAATAATCGCAACCTCTTCCCTTGGTCCCCCTAGCTCTGGGCATAGTAGCTACTATGCCAGTATAGCACAGTCGCTACGTCTGCCCCGTATTGAGTTGCCTTCTTGCATTTTCGGTTATCTAATTATCACTTCTTTATACTAAATTCTGTTAGAATAATCAGGTGGTTTGTTTCCCGGCATTCCCGACTGATTCAATGAACTAAATCCTATGCCTGTGAAGACTACCCTCAAGAATTTTCTCTTTGAAATATTTCAAGATAGCTGCTCTCAGTACCCGTTCCTCCTCTCTCCACTCATTTTTGTTGTAGAATTTACTCTGCTGAACTGTCATCGTTGCTTTTTTTCTCATCCATCGCCATCCCAGGCTAAAAATTACTTGAGGTCAGAGCACATGTCCCTTTCTTCAGCACCCGGTACACAGGAAACTGAACAACACACATGTGAATGAATGAATGAATGAATGAATGAATGAATGAATGAATTCATTTTATTTTTCCGGCGAGGAAAAATCAAACAGGAACGGAAGCAGTTAATACTATGCGATCTGGGAGGCTCACATAGCGCCAAAACGAAAGAGAAAGTTAGATGGTGATGTGAGAAACAGGAGGGCTGTGGCTTCCAGCAGCAAGCCCGGCTCCGAGCGCCCGGCGAGCTCTCAATAAAAAACGCGAATCGACAATGGGATGAAAGGGCAGCTGAGACTTTGCAAAGAATGCTCGGGGACCGGGAGGGCCGGGAGAAGGAAAGGGTTAGCGGACTCCCAGGGACGCCAAATTGGCCGTTCGGGCTCCAGTGGGATGACCCAGCCTCGGGGGACGCCCCTTCTTCTCAAGCAGCCCTGCCCAACCCTTTCCCGGGTTTCAGTTCTGGTTTCTCCGCCCACTCCGTCTCCGCCCCGCGCCTCTAGAAGGAAACGGGTAAAACACGGAGAACTGGGTCTTACTTCAGGAGCTGTTCTAGGCATGCGTCAATCCCAGCCTCCGCGCAGGCGCAGTAACTCCCGCGGTAACTGGTACCACCCATTTTCGCTTTGGGGGAGCGTTTTCTCCCAGGCCGGCTCAGGCTGCCCTAATTGACCACTTTTCCTCTTGGCCCCCGCCCCCTAGTTTCTAGAGGGTGGGGTGGGGAAGTCTCGCGACATTGCCTTCGGCGGTCCCCGGCGGCGCCATCTTTGTGCCTGGCGAGCGACGGCGCCCGACAGGAGTCCTGAAGCTGGCGGTTCTCTTGCCGAGCTCTAGCCGAGACCGGATCCAGGAAATACGAGGCGGGCCTCGGTGGGAGGGACGCACTGAGGGAGGAGGGAGGAAAGGAAAGGGGGCGGCGGCGGCAGCGGCGGCAGCGGCAGCAGCGGCGGCGGTAGCGGCGGCGGCTCCGGCTCCTCTCACCGGATCCGGGCCCCGTGCAGCGCGCACCCGAGGGGGGTCGGGCGGGGAAGCGGCGCCAGCCCGGACCCCCCCGCGGGAGCAGGCGGCGGGCGAGAAGGCGAGGCAGCGGCACACAGGGAGCAGCGGCTGCCGGGTGAGTGTCCCCGAGGAGGGCCCGGCACCTGCCCGAGCTTGGGCGTCGGAGGTGGCTCTGGAGTCGTCTTGGTGACCCAGTGTCCAGGCGGTGGGCGTGCACGCAACTGCGGGAGTCCCGGGGGCTCGGCTCGGCCTGGGGTTGCGGTGGACACCGGGAACTGCGGGGCTGCCGAAGGTTTGCGCAGGGCCTGGCGCGCCCGCCCCAGACGCCCCGGGAGGCCGAGGAGAGAGGGAGTGGCCGGGGGCCTCGGTTGGCCTTCGCCCCTCGAACGCGGGGGATGATGTCTTTTCTCGCCGCACCCTGGACATTGCGGAGAGTGAACCTCTGTGGACGGGCTTCAAGCCCCCCAGCAAGGCGTTGGGGATGAGGACTAATCAGCATCAAGGTTGGGTCTGTTGAGGGTGTTGAGAGATGTGGAGGAATATTAGTAGTAATAGTAATTGTTTTATACGGGTTTTGTAAATTGGTGGCAGGTGTGGAGTAAGGCGAAAATATTGTTTTCTTTAACAAAGATCACCCAAGGAGCCCTCTGAGGTCCAACGACAGAGTGATTCCCAGTTGGAGTTGTGTAGTTTAGTCCTGTGTGCCAGCTCATTAAAGTGCATAAAAACAGGATTTGGGGGGATAGGATGGGGGCAAGATGCGTTATAAAGTAGGGTGCATACAAAGCCAAAAGCTCATAGTGTTGATGAAAAGCGTTTTTGTCCTTTCTGTAACGTAATTTATTTAAATTGTTTATGGACACTTGTCACCTTTGGTCCAGACAGGACTTGTCAATTCCATGTGTTCTTCGGTGACGTTTGTCGATCCGACAGTAAGTTCGGTATCTGATATATTCTGGTTTGTAAAAGAACAAGAATGAATGGAAAAGAACAATTTAACAAACGTAGCTTCCTTTTGCTCACTTTTTCATTTTGGAAGAATAAAAGAATTTTTTTTCTTTGCTTTGTAAATGTTTTGCAGTCATATATCAGAACATTTGTAAGAAGAAATATTTCGATCAAGAAAAGATTTTTGAGATGAGAGTTTAGTTTTTCAGTGTTTTAAAGGGCATCATCGCCCACGGTAAATTTTGTGAGGGTGTCAAGAGTGCAAACAAATACACATACATATTTTTCTTAAAGATTATTCATTTGACACAGCACAAGCGGGTAGGTGGGGGTGGGGAGCGGCAGGCAGAGGGAGCCGCAGAAGCCGGCTCTCCTTTGAGCAGGGAGCCCCATGCTGGGCTTGATTCGGACCCCGGGGATCATGACCTGAGCTGAAGGCAGACGCTTAACCGACTGAACCACTCAGGCGCCCCCATATATATTTTTTAAAGCACTGTCATACGAAGTTTTTCAGTTTTAGTCCCCTCTCCCCCCGTTTGCCTGTAACTGGCTTAATCAAAGGAAAGACTTTAGTGAATATAAATATTAAATATATGACTTTCATCATTACATTGGTCAAAACATAATCTTTGTTCTGTCACTGAGTTTTCTTCCATGTGTTGATTTGAGTCTTTTCAATTACCTAGATTTTTCATGAGCAAATTCTGTTCAATTTGTGTTGGAGCTAAGGGAGCTAATGTTGAGCATGTTCAGGCACTGGGTTTGTTAGGTTATGTACGTTTGCATTTAATCCTCATAGCTACCCTGTGCAGGTAATTTTATTTCTGCTATTCAGATAACCACACTAACCTCCAGGATTCTTAAGTAATTTTCCTGAGGAGATTAAGCTGGAAAATTGCAGAGCTAGGACCCAAACTCATGTGTGTCTGATTTTACAATATGTGCGTTTTCTACTATACTTTGCATAATTGTGTGTGTTGATAAAAAAAATTTTCACGAAAAAGGAAATTTTTTATACAAAGAAACCTTTCAATTCTGTTGGTAATTTTGAAAGATTTCAGTGTTCTTCGTTGAAGATAATCTTAAGATTTCTTTTCTTTTCTGTTCTTTTCTTTTTTCTTTTCTTTGTGTTCATTTTCTAGCCAGAGGTAACATTTTAACAGAAGTCTGCTGATGAGTAAGAATTCCTAGTAGCTGATAGTGACCTATGTGAAATTCAGATGTTTTCAGTAACTTTGCCTCCAGTTTCAGCATGCTCAGGATAATTCAAAGATCAAATATTTTGTTTATTTTGGTCCTGAATAGTTTTTCAAATTACGTTACTAAAATAACATACCAGCTATTTCTAGGCATCTGAATTTGCTTTATCATAGATTGGAGGTATACACACACACACCCCCACCCACCTACTCACCCACCCACCTACTTTCTCCAACAAGTGGAGTACTTGATAACAGACGTTATTTTTCTTCTCTTTAATTTAGTACAGAGGTTTTGGATCCACTTTGTCGTTTGCAGAAAATACAGCAGCTATTCTGGGATCCAGCATAATCTTCTACGGGGCTAGGGAGTGAAAGATCTTCCAGGTTCCCAGGCAGTATCGGATATGTCAGTGAAACAGCAGGAACGTCGTCCCCTAATGGTCTCTGCTCTTGGATCTTTGATGTGCTGCTGAGCTTGCCTCCTGGCCATTATCTCTGTTCAGGAGAGCATTCACCTGGAAGAGTAGCCGCTAAAATAATAGGGAAGAAAAACGAGTGCTAAGTGTCTGGCACTCATCATCCAGCTGGTCATTTGGTTAGGTTTACCTGTTGACTCATCCCTGGCTGAGAGTTCTGGAAATATAATTATGGAATTTGCAATTTACTGCGCCATCCATTAAGAAGTAAATTGTTGGGGGCAGCCCGGGTGGCTCAGCGGTTTAGCGCCGCCTTCAGCCCAGGATGTGATCCTGGAGACCCAGGATCCAGTCCCACGTTAGGCTCCCTGCATGGAACCTGCTTCTCCCTCTTGCCTATGTATCTGCTGCTCTCTCTCTCTGTGTCTCTCATGAATTAATAAATAAAGTCTTTTAAAAAAAAAAGTAAATTGTTTGGGGGGGGAACTCAGTTAAGTAGCCACGTCTTAGTAAACATGGGCTTTAGGGGCTGTATGTAAAAGAAGTCCTGTGCTCCTCTGGGTGCATTTGTGTGTGGTTTGAATGAGCAGGTTTTTCATCATGCCCCCAAAAAAGAGTTAAATATCCTTCCTTATTTGTGAAGGTGATTACTCATGATATTTGGGCTATTGGGGTGAAAACATTGACAAGGGCTCAGCGGTTTAGCGCCGCCTTCAGCCCAGGGCCTGATCCTGGAGATCCGGGATTGAGTCCCATGTTGGGCTCCCTGCGTGGAGCCTGCTTCTCCCTCTGCCTGTGTCTCTGCCTCTCTTTCTGTGTCTCTCATGAATAAATAAATAAAATCTAAAAAACAAACCAACAAAACTTAAAAAAAAAGAAAACATTGACAAATGATAATGTAACGGAGTGCTCACTATAAATAAGCCTTTCTGAAATTATTTCTATTGCCACTGTATAAAGAAAAGGCACCAGGAAATTATCTCACATGTATTTAGATGTATATTTTCCTATCTTCCACATAGTAAACCTCAATATATTACCATGGCCATAAGTACTCGTTTGTTTAAAAGTGAAATGGACCTGCTGAAATAACTGGAAGCTGTCAAAATGAATCAATCCTAAATATTTAAGAACAGTTATGGTTTAATTCATTGGCAGTTCTATTAACTTATTTATCTGATCCTCTGCTATCCCACTTCCTGCTTCAAATTTCCTTAGGTTCCTCCCTCTCTTTCTACTACTAGTTGTTCCTGCAAGTACCTGGAGCCCTTACTTTCCTTAGTTCTATTGACACGGAAGTCTTTGGCAGGGCAGATGCTGGTGAGGAGGGCAACAAAACTCCGCTGAAGTCCATTCCCCTTCTCTTGAGTCCCTGTGCTCTAGGAGATCAAGAAGGATCCAGACCAGACCTCTTAACCCACTCCTTTCTTTGTTGAAAAGGAGAATGAGAGTGGCCAGAGTGAGAGAGGCAGCATCAAGATCCTTGCCGTGGTTTCTTTTTCTTTTTCCTCCCCTCTCCTAAGCATTCAGGAGGAAAGTTTGTAAAAGCCCATCTGCTCCAGGAGCAGATCCTGCTCCCTTGTCCTCTTCTGCAGCCCACTCTGACCCCCACACTTTCCCCTGCTCCTTTCAGGTGCCATCCTGCTCTTCATCCTTCTCTCCCAAGTAGGTCTTGCCTTCCTTATCCCAGGATCTCCTCCCACTGCAGCTCTGCCTTTTGTCCTTCTAACTCTGAAGCCTCATGCAGTGCCAATTGCTGTCTTTCCTGCCTTTTCTCCTGCTCTGCCTCCATCATGGAAACCTAGGCCTGTGGTCCTAGGGGAGGGAATAATTCTACTCAAGGGCTGAGTGGGGCAGGGGTGCTTGGTTTTATTCTAAGTTGATTGCTAAATGAGTTTTCCCATAGAAACATTGCCCATGCAGGTTTAGCATTTTATTGTACTTCTGTACTCTATGGGTGTTTTAGCTTTTGTGGATTTGTTTGGAATTCTGCCACATAGACCTTTGTTTGCTGGGAAGGCAAGTTCTGAGATTCAAATAGATGATTTAAAAAAATCAGTGTGTGCTCCAGAAGTTGTTGGGGGTTGCATGCTTTTTGTTAATTACTCAGTGGGATGGTATGGAGCACACCTTTCAGCTGTCCAAAATTAGGTATGTTATGTGGATCAGGTGGCTCTTCTGGGAGATAAACTGATAGCCTTTTTAGATTGTCAGTGAAGAATTTTTGAATTTAGGCACATGTTTTGAAATGTAGTTGTTCAGTCCATCCCAAGTTAATATTTGTCCTTAAAGCAGTTGTTACAGTGTTGTGGAAAGAACAGAGTTTTGCTTTGTCATAAAAAGAATATCGTGTTCCCACTGTTTCTTGTTGCTGTTTTGAAACTTTTCAAGGGTATTTGAACTCTAGCAGTTATTTTATCCTAGTTTACTTAGTGGTAAACAGAGACTATGTGTTTGTTTTACCTTGATGATTTTAAAATAAAGCTTTATTAGTCTGTTGAAGCTACATGACTTTTTACCACTGTACTGTTCACACAAATTAAATGAGG